TTTATTGGCAAAAAATGTGATGTTTTTGTTAAACGATCAACGATTACCCATATGGCATCTGAGCCTTTCAACGTTGTTGGTAGTTTTGTTACAAAATCCATAGTGATGTCCTCCCACTTCCAAACGGGGATGTCTAACGGCTGTAATTGTCCATACGGTCTTTGGTGTTCAATTTTAACTTTCAAACATGTAAGACATCTCACAATATAATTGGTTACTGGATTTTTCATCCCTGGCCACCAATACAAAGCTTTTAAATCTTTGTACATTTTATTGCTCCCAGGATGGATAGAATACTTAGATTTGTGTGTGTCATCAAGGATTATTTTTCTACATTTTCCGACTTTCGGGATCCATATTCGTCCTTGAAATCTTTTGATTCCCTGATTGTCAGTTTCCAGTAGTTTGATTTGTCCAGTAACTCTTTCCCCCTTCCGGTTGTCTTCCTTCAAAGCTTCTTGTTGTTCTTCACAAATTTGCTCCATTATACTTGTTGTGACTGTTCCACTGAATGCCCAAATTTTAATTGGTTTGGTTGGTTCCTTCCGACTCAAAGCATCTGCTACAACGTTGGCTTTCCCCGGATGATATTTGATTTCACAATCATAATCTTTTAATAATTCCATCCAACGCTTTTGCCTCATATTTAACTCTTTTTGGTCAAATAAATACTTGAGGCTCTTGTGATCTGTATGTAGCACACACCTCGTACCATATAAATAATGCCTCCGGATTTTTTAGGGCAAAGACTATTGCGGCCAGTTCCAAATCATGTGTCGGGTAATGTGCCTCATGGTCTTTTAATTGTCTTGATGCAAAAGCAATAACTTTATTTCTTTGCATGAGTACGCATCCCAAGCCTTGTTTGGATGCATCACTGTATACTACAAAGTCCTCAACTCCTTCTGGCAAGCTTAAAATTTGTGCGCTACTTAGCTTGCTTTTCAAAGTCTGAAAGGCTTCCTCTTGAGTAGATCCCCACTCAAACTTTCTAGCTTTCTTTGTTAATATCGTAAGAGGTATCGCTAATTTAGAGAAATCTTGGATAAATTTGTGATAGTAACCGACTAGTCTAAGGAAACTCCGAACTTCTGTTGCTGACTTCGTGGTTTTCCATTTTGTTATGCACTCGATCTTACTTGGATCTACCATGATACCCTTTTCTTTAATTACATGACCTAAGAACTGAACTTCTCGAATCCAAAATTCACACTTTGAGTATTTTGCATAAAGCTTTTCTTGCGTTAATAGTTCTAGCGTCATTCTCAAGTGTCGTTCATGCTCTTCTTGACTTTTGGAGTAGATGAGGATATCATCAATGAATACAATGATGAATTTATCCAGGTATTTCTTACATACCCGATTCATGAGATCCATAAACACAGCTGGGGCATTAGTTAAGCCAAAAGGCATAACTAAAAATTCATAATGCCCATATCGAGTTCGAAATGTTATCTTTGGGACATCTTCCTTTTGTACTTTTAACCAAAAGGCATAACTAGTGATGAGTTGTTAAGGCTAGAAGTGTGTTGGCAAGTCTAGTAAGCATGACTAAGCAA